GCATTTTTATTTGTATCTTCAGCCAAAAGTACTTATGCTCTCTGCTATTCCCAAAGGTTTTTTGGACTTTTTTCAGTTTTGCAGTCCATAAAATGTTTTGTATAGTAGTATAATGTGGTTTGTATGTTCTCCAGGAACACAGTATTCTTTCCAGAAGTTTTGAGTTGCAATTCTGTGGGCCACTAGCCTAAACCTCATACAGCAACACTGTAGAAATCCAAACAACAGAAGATAAAACCATCCGATTTTGTAGTTGTTCTCACAAAATAGTTGCCTTAAGGCAAAGTGTGGAAACAAGTTCTGACAGTCAGGGAAAAGAGGAAAACTATGGAGTGTGTGATTTCTCAGCAGAGGTAACCCTCTACCCATTCCACATCAGTTCACCTGAAGAAAAGTGGGTTCTGAAAACCATAATGTCAGTAGAACTGGGAGCTCTCTGTGCCCGAGTCAGTGGAATAAGCTCCTTGTCGTGAGTAGAGGTTTACTGAGACAAATATGCAGCTGGAGGTAATTTATAGGAAAATGTCGGACTTTCTGTTTTCTGGGGTAGATTCCTGCATGTTTATTTGTTTAGCTGTAAGACCTACAGTGCTACTTGTGGATCAGGTCACTGCTGTCAGGTGTTGCTTTGACTTCAGATACTGGGACAGTGGTGTCTGTTTGTAGAACTTCATGTGGGAAGGAGAAACCTTTGCTTTTAAGACTTATGTTACTAAAATGAATCTTGCCAGCTTTTGGCATGTGGGGAAGGTGGGATGATGCTATAAACCAAGCTGACGGAGTGATTGCAACTTTGAAAGATTGTGTTACATATGGCCTGCTGGAGTCTTGCTCAGCTATTGAGAGCAAACGTGTTATGCAATTCCTCCTCCTTTTTATAGATGCCAGAGAGCAAGGATAAAATGCACTGCTCTTTTGTACAAAAAGTAAAGGTAAAGTAGGATTTTGTATGCCAAAGTGAGAAGCTTGTTTTGGGTGCTGCATAACGTCCTGGAAGTTTATGCGTAAAGGAGAAACTCTCATAACAAGAGATTCTGTTTTAAAGCTAATTAATTTCTTGATCTTTCTGCTGATTAAATCCTCTGATTGTATGGGGTATCTTTCAAGACAGCTGCCATGCTGCTTCACCAGGTTGTCTATCATGGCCCTGGTGGTGTGTGCAGTATCCCACAAGCTTTCCATCTTGCCTAGAATCCGTAACTTTCCAAAGAGCTGGAAAAGTTGACCCAGAGGGGTGAGGGCTGTTGTAACGTTGGCGGTGTCCAGTGCTGCGGTGAGTGGAGCTGCCTCTGTGAGCTGAGGCGGTGTTGTATTAGGCCTGTCCGTGCACAGGCCCAGGCCAGGGCCCTGACCCACACCGGGCACTGTGGAAGCTGAAATGGCATCTGGGGTCATAGGAGGAAACCGTACAGTCTGGGTGATGGTGATCTGGTTGTACCAAGAGCAATCACTTTCTTTTCAGTGATGTCTGAGGAAAAGAGATAAATAAAGCTTTTCCTTTGGTCTAGTTTGGGCTTAATACACAGTTGGCATTTGCTGTTTTGAGTAGGCCCAGGACTGGAATAGCAGGATTATTGCAGCTGGATTGCGTTGTACTGATGGAATTACCTAGTTTTCTCAGTGACCAGTTAGTCTCTGCTCTGGCACTTCTCTTGTCTTCATCACCCTGAACAATCATTAATCGTTTTAAGGCTGTTGAAATACTAATAACATGTAAGTCCCTCCCCCCTTTTATTTGCACATTTGACTAGTACAAGAAAAAGATTTCCTTTGTTTTTACAGTATTAAGTAAACAGTGAAAGCACTTTGTCTCTTTGTAGTCTGAGCTATGGTGTTTGAGTTCCCCAAATACTGCAAATACCATGGTGGTTCACTTTGTCACATAACGTTGTTGTGTGGTGAACATGCAGAATAATGATGGTGACCCCCTCATCCCCAGGACTTCAAAGCTGTTCTTTTCCATGAGCTATTCTAGTATCCTCAGGCTCTTCATCTTTCTCTCATAATCTGCTTTAATGTTCCCTCCCTCTTGGCTCCTGTTTTGGCAAAGATAGGAATAATGTCTGTGGGGTAGAAGGGGAAATACAATGTGGAACAACATGCTTCTCCTGCAGGGCTTGCATCTAGCAGTGCTCCTGGCTCAGGCTGGCTTCAGGAGTCATAAACTGGGTTAGTGTTACTTTGGCAGGCCCTAATATCAATGCAAAGTAGAGTAAGCAGCTTGGAGTGATGTTTGTTTCCATGATCCTGAGCAAAAAGAATGTTCTGGCTTTAATTTTAAAGTTTCAAGAACTCAACAGTGATCCTTAACACTGGTATTCCGTACAGTCTCGTCGTCCGGGTAGTGTGTAGGCCATGTCTTGTTTGCTCTATCTGTTGGTCTCCATGGCAGCTGTGTGATTTCCTGTAGATGTGACCTAGTTTAAAGGGATGTGTTGCTTGCAAGACTTGATTTGGGGATTGGTGTTTGAAAAGGTGTATTTCACATGAGTGTGTGGTTGTGTAACCTTTAATATCTTTGGAGGGTTGTGAAAAACAAACATGCAGGTGGTGTGCATTGTTTGAAGTCCCTATAAGACTTTTTTATATTTCTAGTTTATTTCTCTTGGTTGTCGTGAATTTTGTTTTGCACTTCCCCCCCCCCCCCGAGTTTTGAAGGGGTAGAGGATCTGCAGCAATGCTTCCAGTCTCATTTCCAGTAAGGCGGTGGTGGTGGCAAATAGTTATGCTCAGGCAGCAGGTGGCCATGCTTATGTGTGTTTGTAGTGGGTGGATGTTTATACTGCAAGCCATACTTTTGTGAGGCACCCATTACTGAATAATCTCATCAGCAGGCAGAAAGTAACCTTGCAGGGACTTGCGCTGGATTTACCGTCATAATAGCTTCTAGCTTATTGTGCTGCTAGCTTGGCCCCTGTTCAATGCATTACTGTATTTTTACATGCAAATATATTTGTGATTGATGATGTTTTTTCTAAGCCTGATGTAAACAGTTTTAACTGCTCTGTAATTCTAAATAAGTCTTACCCATTTTTTTTTCCTCATTCACTGAATTAGAGACAAATGTAACAGTAGTGAATTCCAGTAGTTCAGGGGAACTTGGCCACAGTCAGCAACACAGACTGAAAGAGCTTTGGGATCATGGGCATGGGACACAGGCTGGGCCAAACTTTTTTCCTAGTGCAGTGAAAGCCTTGTCCAGAGCACACTCTGCCTGTGATTACATGTCAGTTGTGTTCTTTGCTTCCTTCTGCATAGCGTCCTCCAAATTGGTTATGATAATGGCTCCCCTGTGGCCCACCACAAATCTGTCATCAGTAGAAAGGAAGGGTGGACTAAGGTACACGCAACTGCTATTTTTGCAGTAGCTGCTGGCTTTGTCTTTGGCAGTGGTGTGAAGGCTCAAGGTGTTGTACTTTTCCTTAGCTGTACGCCATTAAGTGGGAAATACTTGGCCATTTTCATTGGTGTGGGCTGCTTGGCTGCTCCGAACAGGAAGATTTCCAAGGAAGCTACTCAAGGACTTTGCAGTATCTCTCCTGTTCCTTGTTGGTTGACTCAATAAAAAAACCTCTGGTGGAGATATCTCTGGTGGCTATAGTGGAGATGTGGTATTGTGTGAGACAGTGTGATGGTGAACCCAGGTGGTTTTTACTAACATGGAGCTCTGCCATGAAAGTAGCACGATCATAAGAAGTTACATTTTGCCAGGGTGCTATAAAACAGGAACTGTCAAGAGGAAGGCAGTGGTTGCTGTGCCTGTGAGGCTGAGGTCTCCAGCAGCATCATGTGCTCAGAGAATGGCCTTAGTAGCTGCTGTGGGGAAATTTAGAAAACCTGTGTGCTTCACGGTGCAGATTGAAGGAGTTGGGGAGTATAGCAGTGTGTTTTCACAAAGTCCCTTCCTCAGCATCTCTTGTCTTCAAGGCATAAAACCTGGCAGAACTGAGCATAGAGAGGCAGCTCACCGTGATGTGTGTGCAGCCATCCTATTGTAAATCTAATATACTCTGAGGGCTGCATATGAAAATCTTCCACCCTTTACCCCTAATGCACTTACTGAGTGTGTCTGGTGGAGATCAAGAGCTTTATTCAAGTAATGCAGGAGGAGGAGCTTGGAGCATCACTGGTCTTCACTGAAGGGTCTTGTTTTCCTGTGACAGAACCTTGTGTGATCAGGTAAGAGCAAGCTCTTCACTGAAGATTGGCCACAATCCAAGTTCACCTCTGTGTTACGCACAGGAAGGACTCAGTAGTTCCCATCAAGCATCATCTGTGAGCAAGCAGAAATTAAACTGGGAAAGAGACTGGAGAGGACGAATTATATATGTTCGGTTCCCACATCTTTTGGACTTTCTTAACTGCTTCCAACACTGGTCCAAATTAGACACAAATTGATTAATTGATTGGTGTGTTCTGCAGACCTGGTCCTTCCACTCAGATGTCTAGAAGCAAGCAAGGCAGACAAAGCGTATTTTCCCCCTCTGTAGCAAGCTAATAGTTTTGGATATTTATTTATAGTACAAATGATACTGTTTTTATGACTTCACATTAAAAAAGAAAAATTGAGACGTAAGGGTTGCATAGAAGTCCCTGTGAAATCTATGGAGTGTGTACGTGGAGAGGACACATAACTGGCATTAATGTGGCATAACTGGTCTCTTGGCACTGCCTTAACTGCTCAGTGAATCTGCTTCTCCTTTCAAAACAATAGGTTTGCTGCTGGCTTGGGAGACAGAGACTTGAGCTTCTGGTTTCAGAATTTCTAGGGTCAGTCTACAGGAATCTTGTAATAAGGTTCTAGGATGTTCCTGCAAGGGGATTGTGACTCTCAGCAGGTGTACGTGCATCTGGATTTGGCTGGTGACTTTCTCCTCAGCAGCCTTTCATGCTATTAGGATTTCCTTTTTCAGATGTTTAGACAAGATTAAAGAATAAAAGTAACTGGGTACAACACTTGTAATTTTTGAAGTGTTTTATATATTTTCTTTTTTTTTTAGGTTTGGAAGGCGTTTTGAATCCCCTCTTCTGTGGCAAAGCATTATCATGATCATTACTATGTTACTGATGCTGAAACTGTGCACTGAAGTACGTGTGTCCAACGAGCTAAACATAAAACGCCGCTCTTTTGCAGGTTGGTGTCAGGAACTCATTTTTGCAGAACAAATCTCTTTGAAAGTATGGAGTGCTGTATTTTGTACAAAAGTTGTGTCTGAGTTGTAATCCAGTCTCCTTTCTTGAAAATTCAGTGTAGCACTTCCTGAACTTCCTTTTTGAAACTACTTTTTTCCAGATAACTATGTAAAGGTATAATTTATTTCAGATGGGTCTTGGTTCAGTCTAGAAATCAGAGTTCTCCTGAATATTTCAAACCATGCCCTGAATATAGAGCTGGCTATCGTGCCTTGTGCTAGCCTGGACTTTTTTTAAGATCTTGGCCAGAATAAGAAATTATTTTCTTCAGCTGTATGTTCTACCAAGTTCTTAGGCATGATTGTACACTGTTATCCAAAATTTTATTTTACAATTGCAAACACTTGCTTTCGTACATAATTTATTTTCTACTTATTGAGTTACTGGCTGGTTCTGTCATATCATAATTGCTAAACTGTGTCTTTTTATGTACCATTTCCTTGGTCTTTAGTGTGGGATTAGGTGGGATTTATGGGAGTATTCCACATAATTTTTCTTTTGGTTATTCATTAATTTTTAGACATTGGTGATTTCAGGGGCCAAAGTATCATTCTTTATAGAATGAAATCCTCAAGCTTTTTGGAAAGTTCCTGCTTTTTTTTTCCCAGATAAGAAATGTGAGAGGGGTAGTTTTTGTGTTTCTCTGCGTTGACTTTGACTTACAACATTTTATGTTGCAGCTTATTACCAACAAGAATGCAATTAATGCTGTCAGTGTTTTGCCAGTTGTTTTGCCAATATGGAAGTATAATTTATTCTCTCCATCTGTTCCCTTCCCTCACTCCCTAATAACTGAGGGTCTGATCCAGTTCCAGATATCCACAGGCATCATTAAAGGCAGCAGTTCCTGGCTGTGCAGTAGGGTAGTTTATCTCATAGCTGAGGAACCTACTTCCAGTCTCACTCATTGTGGAGTGTGATGTGAAACTCTTCAGGTAAGTGAATTCATGTGGAAGAGGAGCTGCACTCCAGGTCCCAAACACAAGCCTCTGTGTTTACAAGGCTTGTTAGTCTGGCAGGATGAATGACTTAAAAATGTGCTTTCAGCCAGATTTAGCAGCAGTTAAAATCCAGGAAGTGTTTGGGAGCGGCACATAAGCTTTTTCCCTCCCTTGCTCTCTGTGGTAGCGTTTTGTGAAGTGACAGAAAGGTTTCTGTGTTTGCCCTTTCTGAGGGGAAATTATCCTCGTGCGCATTTACACGCACACTTTTGCAGGCTCCTTCGGTAACCTCTGGACAAAAAGGGAGGCTATTGAGTTTAGTATACAGCCCTCTTTAAACAACTCTCTCTGAAAGACATACAGTCTCCTAAAGGATAATCAGTCTTTCCCTTACTGTGTAATTGATGCTCCTCAAGGTTGCATTGTGTCATTTGATCCTTTTTCCTGAAACTCAGTTTGTCATGTGTTTAATTAGCTAGAGAGACTGATTTTTGCCTGTTTGTGGACCTTAATTATTTGCTTTCATCGAAAGACCTGCGTCCTCCCACAAACTTTGAGAACAGCTAAAATCTTTTTCTTACCTGTGATTGATTTTTAGTAAGGCCAACTATAATGTGATGGCTCAGAATAAACACATAAATGCACATAAACTCCTTTCAAGGGAGGCAGAAAGATAGGTTTGTAATTCAAGAACAATATGAGAAGGAGTGAGATCCATGTTTCTAATCCTACTTCTAATCTTATCTCTTTATCTTTATGATGATATAGGCAAGCTGATAAATCTGTGTACTTACTTACTTTCCGCATAGCTTACTGGGGCAGTGAGAAGCTAGGTTTGAAGTCAGTGTTTTCTATTAACCTTGCAGAATCCCGAGGAAGAAGGTGCACAGTTTCTGTATGATAACAGAATGTATTATTTATCATATGGTTTGTCTTCAGTTTAAACATTTTCTTTCTTTAATTTCTATCCTGCTTCTGAATGTTTTCCAAAATAATAAAAAACTTTGAGAAAGTTAATAGAATATATCAGTGGAAGGGAGTTTGCTGTTTTCTTTTATTGCTATTAAATGTGGTATTTCCCCCAAAGTCACATTAGTATATGTTTACCAGTGTGTTTTAAATTATGTGGGAGTTGCCTTTTTGCCTTTTGTTTTTTATTATTCTCACATATAAGGTTCTTGAAGTAATAACTAGTTCAGAAGAAATCTACTTAAAATTTCTTGAAGCATTAAGAATAGTTTCTCCTAATCCTAACAAGCTTGTTCTGAATTCTCTAGCTTGTGTTGTGGTGTTACTATGTTAAAATCCATACCGGTAGCAATTCAGAACATAGACATAAAGCTATTCAGTTGAAATGCTTGTCCTTTCATTTATAGGGTAACTGTCATAGCATGATAAATACAGTCTCCCTGAACTCTTTCCAGTAATGTTTGACTATTTCTTGTAGGCTCTATATAGAGAACTTACTGGGAAAACTCACATAAACTTTTTTTTTTCCTCTCAGTTACTGTACAATTATGGCAGTCTTTTAATGTTCCAAAGTGAAAGTAAGTTGAAAGTGGCAGAGCTTATCTTGTGCTGCTGCTGCCTTCTCTGGCTTTTTGTTCTGAATACATAAATTTTATCCTTTGATTACATGTAGCGATTGAAGACGAAGTAAGCTCTCTTTACATACCCAACTCCTTTATTATTTTTAAAACTTGGACTGAACTGGAAAGAAAATACAGACCAAAACAAACCATAACAAGAAAACAACAAAAATCCCGACTTTCTTTTAAAACCTCCAGTGATAGAACAGTTCTTTCTTCTGCATAAAAATAATTTGAAAGCTGCGTGAAGCTTCGTCTTCACATGAAATCAACAGGCATGGACCTTACTCCTCATCTTTTATCCTTTGTTTAACACCACTTCAACTGCATCTGGACTGCTCTAATGCAGATCCTCTGGTACCATTGTTGTGGCAACCATAGCTCTCCTAGTTCATTGCCCACTTCTAAATTGGTGTCTATGCAACAGTATGTATGCTGTGTTGTTGGCTCGGTACAGAAAGGCTCAAGGCTCAGTGGCAGTTTCTTTTGTAACAGCTGTTTTTGTTCAAAGCACAGCAGGACTTGTGGAGCATGTTGGGGCGACCACGACAGAGCACTAAATATTGAAAAGCAAAATGTGCATGTGCCATGTCTTGACTCAAGAATCAAGAGGAGGCTGAAGCCAGGTGCTCACTGATACAGACAGCTAAAAACATCTAGTCACTCTTGAAAATATTGACAGGCCAGAGCAGTCTCTTCATATTCTTGGAGAGACAGACACTCTATGAAGAACCCTCTTTTTCTTTCCCCAAATAAGTCTTCTACCTCTCTCCAACACGGATTCAATTTCCCTTATGCCCAAGACATTGTGACAGATTTTGAGCACCTTGAATGTATGAACTGCACTGAAAACCAGCGGACAGCATTTGTTAGAAACAGGCTTTTGGATGTCTCTTCTTATTATAGTACGGCATGGGCTCCTTAAGTAGATCATGGGCTCTTGTGTTTTTACATGAAGAAGATTTCCTCTGGTCATTCATCCTGTTTTGTCTTCCTTCCAACTGCTGGTTGTTGTAGCCTGCTTTATAACTTGTGTCTTATTATAGCACTCTGATCCCTTGAAGAGCTCTCTTTTTGGCACTGGAAAGCACTCTGGCGTAATACACGGTTTTCAAGTGGCAGATGAAGGCTAGAGTGAAAAAATTTAGCATCCAGAACGTTTGCAGATGGGGTCTGCTCTGCCCATCTTGATACAATTGGCTTAAGCTCAGGCTTTTTGAAACTTTTAGGACACCATTTTCCATGGGAGGCAAAGCAACTGCAATGTCTTAGCTGATTATAGGTATCTGTCTATACACTTAGTGTTGCTGAGGTAACAACTTGTTTTCTCTGATCATGAAAAGTATATAAACTAAGAGTTAAGCTGTCTGTTTCACTGTTCTTAAGTCTTCATTTTCTCCCCCTAGGTACCTTGCTGTTGAGTTGTGCATTGAGACTGTTCTGGGACTTCCTGTTGCTTGACCCTATCTTAACATTGTGGGGTGGGAGCCTTACAGAAAGCACAGAGACTAAAATTTCTGGCATGTTTTGTTTTGGCTATTATTTTTTTATAAACAAAATGTACTAACTGACTAAACTGTATCTAAAAGATCCACTGTTGCATTTAATCATACAAGTCTGTTTGTCTTTCCTTCCTTTTTTGTTTTGTGTTTTTTTTTCTCTGAACCGTTTTTCTATGTAGCTGCAGATAGTAAGGATGAAGAAATCAAAGCACCTCCCAAGAGATCCTATCTGGGTATGTACTGTACAAACCCATTCTGCATGAAGTTGTCCTCTCAACTACACATTTCATGCTTTACTACTTTTTGTAAACATTTTTAGAAATGATTGCATGATCATTTCTATAGAGAATGTTTGCATTAACTTTTCTTGACATACTAAAACCTGGTGTGTGATTTTTTAAAAAATAATTTACCCCTTACCACTTTTAACTTTCATAGAGGAAAAGTTGCTTTCAGCTCTATTTCAGACACCAGTTTTCTGAAGACAGTTTAATTCACCACATTGTGTGTCTCAATGATATCTTCCTTTTTCCTTCCTCGAGCTAGACAAGGAAAATATTACATGAGATAGGGCTCCATCTCTTCAGACCCGTATTCTTCCTCTTGTAGCTCTGACTCTGGATGAAACTATGAAAAATACAGGAGTAGCTTTCAGGATTGCTCAGAATGCTAGATCAGAAATTTACCATAACACTTGATGTTTGAGCAAAATGCCTGCATCCTTGTTAAATTTTCTGGCTTTTTCCTCTCTTTCATTAGAACAGCCTCAAAATTGTTAGTTAAAAATTAGTTACTTTTAAGGTGAGAGCTTCCACTCTTCTGTTTCAGAGTTGGAAGCTATGTTCTTTAATTTGCCTAAGGAAGAGGACATACTAGGTGCAAACCAGCTTTGCAGTGTTTTCAATGCTTATTAGTTTGGAAAGACAGTTTTAGTCAAATCATGGTAATTTTGTAAAAAGTTAGTTGGGGGTATCACATTAAGGAACATAGACAAACTAGAGACACAGAAGTTCCCCAGAGTCAACTTCTAGACTGATTTTAACTGAACTGATTCAGAATCTCACATTGATACTAGTTATGCTCTGTTGCAATTTTTGAGCTAGTAAGTGGTCAACTGAAAGAATTCAGGATAAACAAGAGTATTACTTGTGCAAAAGGAGTCTCTCTACTTCTGTATTTGACAACACACAGTTAATTAAACTAGAGCTATTTCTAAGAAACACTACCAAAGAGTAATAGTAACCTGAGTAATTTCCTGAAGCCATAAGACCATTC